TGAAGGGAGAATCAGATTCCAGTTTAATCCCGTATGGGCCCATAAATATGCCTTAATTATAGGTATATTATTATTGCATGATGTCACATATTTGCATTACTTTTAAGCACACCTGTAATTCTGAAATTCTGGGTTAGTAAAGCTTGATTTTGAGATTAGTATATAACTGTGTAATGTTTTTATCGTTAAGATGCTGATGCTGATTGTATTGTAATATAGAGGTGGGGGTTGTTTGTTTCTTGGTCTTGGAATAGAAAAAAAAGTCTTACGAAAAGGTCTTTACAGCAAATTTCAAGTGGATAAGGATGTACGGAATGCGATGATCCCCCAGAGAGGTACTCTGCTACAATCGTATACAGTCTAGATCGCTATGTTACCGTCAGTCCGAGCTGTCGCTTGATTTGATGTTTATGAGGAGCCATGCACACGGATCAGAGGTAGGGTATAACTTTTAAACCCAAGGTTTCCATACACTCGTCAGTCAAACATGACTTGTTTAACCCATACGTATGCCCAAACTGCGTAGGTTCTACTGAAGTGCGCTGAGCTACATTTTGTAGCCAGAAAAGTCCCTGGTCTTAGGTGAAGCCCACAACGTCTAGAGCCTATCTTCTTGAAAGGCATTCGGTCTTGGTACAAAAAATCCAAGTGAGAGAGAATTGGCCACAGTCTTTAGTAATCCGACCCAGTGGTTAATTCGTGTCTAATGTGCCTCTTAGTTCCGATTCGAGTTTTTTCCCCTGACTTCCACTTCCAGGCCTTGGAGCTTGGTGTTTTTAGCTGCTAACTTGGGAGTCCTCTAGTATTAACTATATCCCCTCTTACGCAGACGTTTGTAGAAAAGGATCAACTCATCTTAACCCTTGCTAAGGTACTCCACCTTCGGTGTTATTTCTCCTCGTGCTGGGCTTCCCAGCCATGTCAATCGTTCTGGGGGGGAAGAGGGGCGGTGCAGCTGCTGGAGCTTGTTTACAGCTCAGAAAAGCTGTTTCGGTGAGATGTGTGCCGAGCCCAAGCGAGGTTCTGCTCCTCCTCAGATGGGCTTAATTCCAGTCCCACGTATCTTATTAGAACCTCCCAGCCTTTGCTGGGAAGGGACGGAAATGCCTCAGTTTCCCTGGCCGGATGGTCTCTGCTACAGCCGGGGTTTACACTTAGCCCATGTCCCCTTCACTCGGGGACTAGGAAGAACAGCGGGTTGGCCGCCGTTGCTAACATCAGCGAGAGCTTTGCCGTGGCCTCCCACCGGAGTCAGGATCCTGCCGCAGGGAATAGACCTGGGACGCTTTCCTGAACTTGGCTTGCTCGGGTGTTGTTAACTAGCGTCACGTTCCCTTATCGCCTGCTCATGAAGGCAGAATGAAAGAGAATTCGCTGCCAATTACATGAAATTCATTTACTCCGAAGGGAGATTGTTTGTTCTCGTTAGACCTGCTCGTTGCAGGGAGAGGGCTGCATTAAGGCACCGCTTAATGGCTCTGCCTGGCGATGAAGCCATTTGCTTTGGCTTTTATTGCCCTGCCTGGACTTGCAGCCGTCTCTGTGCGTGGAGCCACGGGGGCTGTGCGCCTGGCCTCGCTTGCTCCGCGCACGCTGGCTTCGGGCAGAAAGATACCCACGTGAAACCGTCGTTGGCGTCTCAGAAAGTCAGGGCCGGGTGTCCGCGCTGCACAGAAATGGGCATTCTGAGCCGCTGCCACGGTGATGGGCGCTCGTAGGAAGCCCTCGCAAGGGGACTGGTATTCGGGGAAGGGCAATGCGGATGTTCAAGGAGGCCCATTTTCTGAAATCAAAGGTAAAATTGCACTGACGACCACGGAGGCAGGATCTGACCCAGAGGTTTGTCTACGGCAGGGGTGGGGAACCTCTGGCCCGGGGGCCGGATTCGGCCCGCGATGCTCAGCCTTTCCCCCATTGGGAAGCCTGCACTGAAGGTCCAGCCCCACCGCAGGCTGGAGAATACAAACGCTCCGGGGCTGGACCCCTGGGGCTCTGGTCTCAGTCAGGGACAGTGTCAGTGAGGCGGTTTTTTCTCTTCTCACTTGTGTGCCGCCCCGACTGATTTTTCTGTGGTTCATTGGCCCCGACACAAAAAAGGTTCCCACCCCTGGCGTACGAGCAAGAAGCCACCCTTGCCTGACCGTAGGTCTAATGAAGGGGCATCAGTCTGGCCTTGCCTTTGATGTCAGTGGGGAGGCCACTGACGCTGCGCCCGGCAAGTGGAGGGAAGGTCCTCCAGAGCAGGAGTTCAGCAAA